TATGGCAAATTTTGCCTACACTGACAATGCTTCTATTTTAAGTGCTGACTGGTTAGAGTTAGATGAGGGTGATGTTGACTTGTGTGGTACATCAGTTCCGCAAGATGAAAATGATAAATCAGCTACCCGGTATACTAAGCCCATCGTAACGATGGAGCAACACCTGCCCATGGCTACTCTCTGGGAAGATGATACTATCATTGATAGCAGCTAGAAACTATACTACAGTTATCAGCTATACTGACAATAATCATATTTATACTTCCACAAACAATGATATTTAGCCTTTAACAACCTTTTCATTGATTCTGCATTATAAAATTTAAGAGTGCCGGGTAAAAGCATTTTACCGTGTTGATTAACAAGCTAAATATGCAATAAAATGTTTTAAAGACAGTTTTGTGTCCTTAAAATACATCAGCACAAAGTAACATGTATTTATATATCTATCTATTCCTTTTTTTGGGGGGGGTTGGGGGTGGGGGTTATAAAAACGTTGACATAATTACTTAAGGGATGGGAGTTGGTCACTGAAAGTTTGACAGTTGTTGACAGGGGGGGAGGGGGACAAAAATTGCTTTAAGATTGTTGACGTAATTCATGGACGCCCCCTAGCGCTAGGCAGTCAGGGTTGTATTTCTTTTACGTTAATTTTTTTTTTATTTTCCAATGTTCAACCATTATAAAGGGCCAATCATCTTACAAGGTTTTTAAGAAGGATCCCATACGATTTTCATATTTTTCACCAGTCCTGGGCTGAAAATGTACAGTTATTTTTTGTTTGTTCATTCCGTCCCTATCAAAATCCGTATACATAATTCTTCTTTTCCTACAAAATTCTGTAGCCTGTCTGGTCAATTTAATTGGATCGTGTTGCAATAGGATATTTATGGATTTAAAACAAATTCTAATCCATCAGGTTAATATCATACTTTTTATAGAGTAAAATAGTTGCTCTTAGCCCCCAAGTTAATCATGGAATTAAGCATTTGATCTAATTTACCAAACATCTATTACTAGATGTTGTACATAGCGTATATGATGACCGGCAATATACAGCCATCTTGTAGGGTAGTTTATGTCACTAATTATTGCTAGGCGACACCTTGTAAGCCACGGGAGACGGGTAATAGGCTAAATAGGCGATGTGGTTCCAGCATTGCGGCCATGTTACGGGAGAGTGACTTGTTACAAAGTTGAACATTCCTAAAGCATAAGTTCATCGCGTGACGAGCTTTAAAGTATGGCAGATAGGTGAGTAAAATTAGTTTGTTCAGTCAGAGGTACGACAAGCATAGTTGATCATGTTATTATTTTATGCTGTGCCGGTACTAGTTTTATAAAGTACAAACGACAGTCTTGGCCTTAAATCCTAATTAAATTCGCATGCCTCCGATTCATTAATTTATAGCTTTTTGGTCCTTAACACATGTCTCCGTGAAAGAAAGGCAAACAACATCAGAACTTATTTATCTGAAAGAAATGAATTCACACTAAAAACATGGACTTATATTTAGGAGATCGGGAAAGTCCATTGCTGTTTCAGAGAAGATTTTGTTGTCCCCTATTTCAACCACTTCCGATCTCTCATCCTATGCCTCATGAGATGTAAACGCTTTCAATCTGGTTGTCAGTGACAACAAAAGTCAAGATACGACTACCTCTGTCGTGAGTGTGGACGGGGGAGACAATTCAGTCGCCAATGAAACCATAGAGACAGAGGTCAACCAGCCAGAGGTTGGTGCCAGCCCAACAGTGGAAACCCCGGAAGATGACAACCCGCTGGCCCCGGAGTCGGTAGGTAATTCAAACTGAAAGGTAATTAGCACCAAACCAAACTTCTAAAAGGTATACATTCCCATCGCTACTCCCAAGTCATTTCCCAGAAAGGTGGGGTAACTGCATGCTGCTCACCTTCCATTGCAGTGTGAATAATCCGCACCTGGCCTAAATAATCGCATAATTGTGGTACCAAACTTATAACTAATGTCTATTGGTCTTTGATGGAACCTTTGTATCGCCTGGCTAACAATAACATGATATTAATTGGCCACACTACAAACTACACCCTATTACGACTCTAATGTTCGCAGATTGGTCACTAAGACTTCTATATTCACTAGTGACATGTCTAATGTCCACAGCTTGCGCCACTGCTGTCCACCAACCAGTACATGGTCAGGAAAATGGCATCACAAGCCCTCATGGACGTAGCGCTCATTATGGCTAATATATCACAACTTCGGACACTGGTCAACGGAGGTACGGTTTATGGATATTATTTGTTTATGGGAAGGTTTGTTCAGCGGTCACATCTTAAGTTGTAGGCAATATGTAAGTAACATAGTAGGTTAATTGCATGGGCGCCCGCAGAAAACTTTCTAGGGGGGGGGGGGGGCAAAAAAAAATCGATTAACTTTCCAGGGGGGGGGGCAAAAAATTTTTAGAAATGTTTTAAATTTGTTTTATTTTACTTTATCTTATTTGTTATCGATTAACTTTCCAGGGGGGGGGGCAAAAAATTTTTAGTAATGTTTTAATATTGTTTTAATTTACTGTAGCTTATTTGTATGGTGAACGAACGGACAGGACATCAGCTTAGTTACTTTCTCTTTATTTTCTCTTTACTTTAATAAAAAAAATGTGTCTATTTTTGTCTAAATTTTTTGTTATCCAATCAATCCGGGGGGGGGGGGCAAGTTCCCCACCTTGCCCCTACCTGCGGGCGCCCATGGTTAATTGTAACTAGCGTTGATTGAAGAAATAAAACACTTTTTTTCTTTTTCAATAATGTAACGTCAATTATACTTGTGTTACTCGTAGTTATATTTACACGAGGTCTCAATGACGAACAATGAGTCAGTGGGGGTCCCATCCTGTAGTAAGAGGAGCACTGACAAGATACTAGATTGTATGATAGAACTATAATTGTTTTAACTTGACAAGGGCTTTCATGTCGCATGTATATCTCAGGAGAGGGAGCTAATGGCGATGCTCTGCTATGTATTTTAAAATAATTTTTTATGCTACGAAATCAAATTTTCATTATTAAAAGAAAAGCTGAAAAGTCTAAATATTCGACACTGCTCGTTTGCAGTCACCATATTAACATGCCCCAGGGGCGTAGCTAGGGTTGGTGTCACCCGATGCGGTAAACTCCCCCCCCCCCACCTCCGACGTCCACGAAAGATTTCTTCTTGTTTAAAAACGTCCACAGTATTGGTTACATGTATGATCGGTGATCCTTTTATGAAATTTGGTCAGACTGAACAGTGTGTTCTTTAAATATGCAATGTTTTCAATTTGGTGTCACACGGTGCGGTCCTCACCCCCCACCCCCGCACCCCCTTGCTACGCCACTGACATGCCCCACGATCCATAATTGTGTATCTTAAAAAAAAAAACCAACGAAATGTCAGACGTTAATGACGCAACTAACGTCACGCTATCCAAAGCTTTGGAAATTATGCCACTGCACTTGGCAGTAGATATAATGCACCGACTCTGATTGTTTGTGATTTAATGAACGCACCCAGTGGCGGGTCCAGAAATAAGACACGGGTAACATGAATGTCAGGGGGGGGGGGTTGAGCCCTATTTCATGGCTTGTCATCATCGAAATAAACAATCAGTTTTACAAGAGTTAGTTTAAGAATAATAAAATGACATTTTTTAATACATGTGTTTTGTGTGGGCAGTGTGGGCCTGTGGACAGTGTATATATATATATATATATATATATATATAGAGAGAGAGAGACTTTAAAAAAAATATTCTTCATCTCCGCTGTCATCAAAAGACGATAGTATCTAACAACCAACCCTTGAAAATGACGTTCTTATGATTCCCTAAGATGTACTATAAAATGTACCCTAAGATGTGATGATGATGATGATGATTGAGTACTTTTTAAGCGCTTGTGTTTCTGCTATTTTAACATGCTCATGGCGCTCTGATGTCCTAAAATCTATTTAAAGAAAAAAGTATTTATAGGGTTCTTAAATGACTTTTTAATCATTTTAAATTTCCCTCAGAGATTAGGCGCAATAGCTTCGAACGAGCGCACTCCGTACGACTTCTTTCTGTGTCCATCCACACTGGGAACTCTCAGTAAGAACTGTGTTGAAGGGCGCACTCCGTACGACTTCTTTCTGTGTCCATCCACACTGGGAACTCTCAGTAAGGACTGTGTTGAAGGGCGCAGGCTCTGTATGGATACATGTTTAGAGATCAGTTTTTGAAGATACACAGGTGCAAAGCCGTCTATACATCTATACGCCAGGGTCAGAATTTTGTGGTCACTGCGCTCACTCACTGGAAGCCAGTAGAGATCTTTAAGAACTGGGTTGATGTGGTCAGATTTTTTTTATACACGATACAATGCGTGCTGCAATATTTTGTTCCCTATGATGTGCCCTAATATGTACCCTAAGATGTACCCTAAAATGTGCCCTAAGATATACCCTAAGATGTACTTTAAGTAAGATGCACTCATTATGTGCCCTAGTACTCTAAGATTATGTGCCCTAGTACTCTAAGATTATGTGCCCTAGTACTCTAAGATTATGTGCCCTAGTACTCTAAGATTTGCCCTAGTACTCTAAGATGTGCCCTATTACTCTAAGATTATGTGCCCTAGTACTCTAATATGTGCCCTAGTACTCTAAGATGTGCTCTAGTACTCTAAGATGTGCCCTTAGGTGTGTCTCAAACGTTTTGAACAGATGTTCGCCAACTTCTACTTGAAAGGTCCACGGAAGTAGACGATTATTTTTCTCTAAAAAATACGGTAAAGAAAATTAATTTTAAAAACGTAATACCCCGATTTTTTGCCTTCCTATTTTAAAAAAAAAAGGCTGAACTCCCAACAGTCCATTTGGCAAGTAAACTCGAAGTGATGGTGGTGTGGTAGTTGGGTGGGGGTGGGCGCACTCCCCTCGTCCAGTACCGCCATATAAGAAACTAATAAAGAACTAGAACTTATTGGTGTGCCTCATTTTCTTGCAGGACCTGAGGGAATGGAGTTTTATTACGCCCTGACTACGTTGGTCGGCCTGTCTCTGCTGGCGCAGCTGGTCTTCGCCGTTCTTATTTTTGTCATATGGGTTCGAGAGAGTGACCAAAACCAGAGGCAGGAGTACTTCCTTGTGAGAACAGCTCATTTCAATAATTTATATTAATTTTATTAATTATAATAAAGAATATGATACATTACCAAAAACAGCCCACTGGTCACCAATAAGCAGAAGCTCCACTAAAGCCCTTGAGTGTTTATCTTCAGATGTCGGAGACCAGTGCCTGCAGAAGTGCTGAAGAAAAAGCAAAGACGGTGACCTTGAAGAGAGACGAAGAGTTCTTGGCCCAGAGGTCGACTAACCGGTTAAATTACCTGACGACGGTTCTCGTGTTCTCTATAACGGTGATCAACATGTTCATAACAGGATTTGGAATCAAGCTAGACCCGTCCTTCAAACCAACTGTAAACAGTTCTTGAGAAAAAGGCACCGACTGACCTTTTTCTTATGCGTTTTTACCCCGTCTGGGGCACAGGACGTCCACACTAAGTTTTCATCCATCTCGGTCCTGTGCTTTCCTTGCCAGTTGTTTCCAGATGTATCCCATATTTTGTGTGCCTGCCTCTAGCTCGCGTCTCTATGTATTCTTTGACCTTCCTCTCTTCCTTTTCTTCTTCTTCTAGATATTAAGGTCCCACGATCAATTTATTAGTCATTTTGGCTCCTAATGCATGTAGAAAGGATGTACAATGTTTCTGTGCCTGGTGTTGATGAGCATATTTCATTGGTTGCAAGGGCTATTTTGTGAGGGCGTCATGCACTGGGGGTCGGATTCCATGTTAGCGATTGTCTAGTGGTGCTATCTGGGGGTTTTCGGAGAGTTTGCTCTATACACCTCCATCTTTTCTTTATGTCTTCATCAATAACTATCGGGATCCTTCCGTCTCGTGAGACGATGGTGCATCACCGTTTGGTTGGGTTGCATTTTCTCGAGTGGCTGTGCAGTCCTATCCTTGAGTGACAGTCTTTACCACAGTTTTTACACACGAGTTCTGTGCTTCCCAATGTTTTGGCCTTTCTCCTAGCTCTTCTGTCTGCAGCCTCTTCCATGACGCCCTCTTTGACAACTGTGCGCCACGTAGATCGGTCTTTTGCCTTACACTCCCAGTCACTTGTATGTATTTTGGCTGCTTTCATGTCCCTTTGACAGACATCTTTAAATCGCAGACGTGGTCGACCTGTTTTCCTCTTTCCAGCAGCAAGTTCACCATATAGGAGGTCTTTCGGAATGCGGCCGGGACTCATTCTTTTAACATGACCTAGCCATCTCAGGCGTCTTTCACTAAGGATTGTGAACATGCTTTGGGTATTCGCACGCATTAGGACCTCACTATTAGTCACTTTTTCTTGCCATTTAATACCAAGGATGCGACGCAGGCATCTCATATGGAAGCTATTAAGCTTGCGCTCTTGGGATGTATAGGTGGTCCATGTCTCGCTCCCGTATAGTAGTGTACTGATGACACAAGCTCGATAGACGCACAGTTTGGTTTTCTCCGTTAGCTTGGTGTTTTGCCAGACCCGTTTATTTAGTTTAGCCATTGTGGCAGCTGCCTTGCCGATTCTGCTGTTAATTTCTTCTTCAATGGACAGTGTATTGGAGACCTTGGACCCCAAGTAGGTGAAGCTGTCCACAACCTCCAAGTTTTCATTATCGATTTTTATGTTAGGTGGAGGTCGAGTGTCTTGGGCCATGATGTTTGTCTTTTTCAAGCTGATTTGCAGACCAAATTCTTTGCAGGCATTGGAGAAGCTTGACACGAGTTGTTGCAAACCAATTTCTGTGTGTGCTGTTAGTGCCGCATCATCCGCAAATAGTAGCTCGCGAATTAGGACATCTGTCGTTTTGGTCTTGGCTCGGAGGCGGGCAGTGTTGAAAAGTCCTCCATCAGCTCTGGTGTGTAACCAGATTCCCTCACTGCTATCCTTGAATGCGTATCGAAGTAATACAGAGAAGAATATTGCGAACAGTGTTGGTGCGAGTACACAACCTTGTTTAACTCCGCTGCTGACTGGAAAGGCTTCTGACTTGGCTCCATCGAACTGCACTGTACCCTGCATATTTTCATGGAACTCTCTGATGATGGCAAGTAGGTGAGGGGGACAGCCGATTTTTGCCAGTATTTTGAATAGCCCGTTGCGACTGACGTAATCAAAGGCTTTTGTAAGGTCCACAAAGGCAATGTACAGTGGCATCTGCTGCTCTCTGCATTTTTCATCAATGGGCACCTGGTAAGTCATTTCTATAGTAGATCTTTGTTAGTGATGTTATTTAGCCATTTGATGTTGAGGATCTTTCTAAGACAAGCGTTGTTGAAGGTCTATGCTGTCTGTGTCAATACCTGACTCTGGCTGACTTCTATAATTAAACACCCCCTATAACAACGTTTTCCTTTTACTTCCTTGACATTTTATTTTGTATTATTTTATTGATACTAATATTTTAATGCCCCATCCGCTTTTATGTAGCATTTCTATTTCACCAACTATTTCAGAATAACAAAAAATATTAAGCACCAAACGCACTTGTGATATATATAAGAAAAAAAAAACACCACACCTCCTTTAGCGCAGTTATCTGGAATTTTATTTCGTTAAATTTAAATCAGTGTCATCATATTTCCGCCATCTTAACATGAAAAACAGATTTTTGGGGGAGTGGAGCTGAAAGTTTGAAAGAATTAATTATCGTCAACGAGTCTATATACGAAGTTTTAGATCGATAGGTTGACGAGAAGTGGGTCAATTAGCCGTCCAAAGATTTTCCAGCCAGCCAACATCCCACGAACTCGAACTTGCGCCAAACAAATACATCAATGTTACTTTTGCTTTGGTACCAAACCCAGCTCCAAATGATGTCAATTTGATGCAAAATCAGGATGCCTGGTTTAGAACCTATGGCCTGATCTTAATTTGTGATGACCTGCTCATGCAATCAACTTAAATGAATTATAATAAACCTCAGGACATGACTATTAAGAAACAAGCAGAAGAAGAATAAAGTACACCGTATTAAAAATACATTTTTTATTATACAAATTTTAAAACATAAATAATAATAATTGTACAAATATAATAACATAAAAATAGCAAAGCAAGTTGTTTGTTGTGCTCCTCTGCAAGGCTCAGATCTGTCTGACAACAACGAAGACATGAGTACACACAATTCTTTGTCATTTAATGAGTAAAATGATACAACAAAATAATTTACATTTACTTCTCTCATACAAATCGACTACAGCAGACATGGTTGGAAAATTATTTTAAAAAATAATATTTGTATCATGTATGGAAAAAAAAGGGCTCTTTTAAACTATTGATTAATAACTTAAAATTGAAGAAATCTGTAAGAGAGTACAGGAAAAAATAACTTGAACAAAAAAGTTAGCTTCGACCAATGAGAAATTAGATGAAAGATGACAAGGAGTAAAATGTGAATAAAAACATTTGAAAAAAAGTTCTCTAAAAGTACTATGAACATCAGCAATGTTACTATAATCACCAGTGATGTTACTATAATCATCAGAGATGTAACTATGATCATCAGTGATGTTACTATGATTGAGGGGAAAAAATCACACACACAAAACTAAAAAAAAACCCAGCTAATTGAATATAAATTATAAGTAATTAGTGAAAAAAAATTTTTTTGGGGGGGGGGGGGGGAGGATTGGGGTGTTAAAAAATTACATACACATATTGTACACATATAACATATCTACACATTTTGTGTTGTGGTGCAGGCAGGGATTTGTGCCATAGAATTTTTAAACAGTAATGAACTAGACAGGCATTCATCATTTACATATATTTATATGTTTATTATAATTTATATCGATACCATACATCTCTGCAGTAACAAGCCATGACACCTGATAAGTAGCAGTTCTAAAGACACAAGAACGCGACTATTTTTAGGAGGATGTTTCTTCAAACCTGATGTGACCAGATGAGGCTGCAAACTTGTTAGATAAAACAGATTGAATAACAAACTGGCAACTCATTACCAAACCATTTGGCAGCAGCTTTCTGTGTGTACAATCTTAGCACAAGTTCCAAAAAGTCTTAGCACAGCTAGTGGACACATAGTGTGATTGATGACAATTTTGTTGTTGTTTTTAATATGTACAGCAAAGCAGGTAGATACTTTTAAAAAAAATCGTTACCGGAAATTTGATCGAAAGAAATTTCGTCAACGGTAATTTGATAGACGGAAATTTGATCAAACGGAAATTTGGTTGAATCTTTTTTCAGTTCACACGTTTAAATTTTCGTCAAATTTCTTTTTGAACGCACTATACTATTTAGTAAAAAAAAAATAATGCGTTCAAAAAGAAATTTGAAGCAAAATTTTAACATAAAAACTGAAAAATAGATTCAACCAAATTTCTGTTTGATCAATTTACCGTTGACAAAATTTCTTTCGATCAAATTTCAGGATACGAAAAAAAATACACAGCATGTAAGATAATAAATATTTATGCATATTAAATATTAAAATATTAATAAATATACCCCTAGAAAAAATTGGATCTTAAGTAAACAAGACAACAATATGCGAGTGATCAGAATACTGTTACAATTCTAAACATCATGGGCCGACGTGGCAAACTTCACTTTCTCAATCGGACATTGAAAGAAATGACTTTGTTTGAAAGTATGTTTCTCAAGGACATATATTATTGTGATTTCTGTTAAGAGGAATGCCTTTGATTTAGCTCTTGAAATAAGGGCATTTATTAGTGTTATTTCATAGAAACGATTCTACTATAATTTAGCTCTTGAAATAAGGGTATAAATTTGTGAGATTTCATAGAGCGGCGTCTCCTATAATTTAGCTCTTGAAATATTAAATGGCATACACATTTGTGAGATTTCATGTTAACGATTACACATAAATAATTTCCAGAAATATATATCAAAATTCTCATTTTCACACATTATTTTTTAGGTTGTTGAAATTTTTTTTTTAAAAACATTTAAGCACAGTAATATTATCATGTAATATAGCATTTCATTAAAAGATGTAGCAGCTCTCTATGGCTTGGAGACCCCCAAGCAAACTAACAGAGAGGAGGCAAATTACATCAATAGATGTACTGTAACAAAAGTACAATTAATAATGTTTAAAATGTTCTAACACTCTTTAGATATTTGAAACTGATCTATGTTTAGATATGTGTTACACTGGATGGGTCAGAAAACCAAACCAGTAATCTAAAATAAACTATTCAATGAACTGTTGGACTGAAATCTCAAGCAATTTTACCTCCATTGTTAAACAAGCAACAGTTTGTTATCACAATATTAAAATATAGTGCTAATGGTAAATGACATGATCTTATGGCAATGACATGTTTAATGGTAAAAGACACAACCATTGGCAAATGACTTGACCAATGGCTATTGACATGATGAATGGCAAAAGACATGACCATTTGGCAATGTTCTCAAAAGAAAATTGTCAGATAAGATACACATCTTACAGCAAACTCAAGTACTTCCCAAGATTTGTATGTCAGTCATGATTTATCACAACTTGATTGTATGGCATGACACCGAGGGAATAGCTTGTAAAACACTCATTTCTTTTGATACAGATCTAAACATAAAAAAATTTATCCAAATCAATATTTATTCCATAGAACAGCAGAACTTCTTTAAAGATGTAATTACATTAATACAGTAAGACATTGATAATCAGAATGTTTAGAATCTAGAGCGTCGAAAAGCTTGAATGCCTAATCAGAATTTTTTTCTGTGCAGCAAGAATGGCAACATGTTTTTAAATGAAGGCATTCGCTACTCTTAAAATGACTAACAAAATGACCCCAAAAAAAAACCCAAACATGTCCTTGGGCACATCCATGATAGTAACCTTTCACAAATTATGGGGTAAACCGTGACCGTAATATACCAGTACTTCGCTGCTCAAAGCAAAGAACAATTATTTTAAAAAAAGCTGTGAAAGATGTTTTCCATAAATGATGACATGTCAAATAAAGACAGAGCTGTAGTCAAATTGTCTAGGCTTTGGCAAGTGTACTTTTTTTCTTTTCTTTTCTTTAGTTTTCCAATAAAATATTTACCGCAAGCTATGTTGATATTTTTATATTTACTTTACGTAATTACAGCTAGGACCTTCGCTATGGGATTAAAAAATCTTGATAAGCTGATTATCGAGATGGGGTCTAAGCAGGGTTATCAAAGTCTTACTTTACCGTTTTTGTTTTTGAAATGAATAAAGATATAAAGAGAGTCGATTTTAAAGTTGACTGATCGAAACCAACTCACCAGAAGTAATTGGGTTTTCTTTCCTATTAGTGACATGCAATTGTACATAAACGTTTAAAATAAACTAAATCAAACATATGCATTATAAAAAAAAAAAGGATTTTTAAAGGTCCCGGTAGGGTGACGGCTAAACTACAATTTGAAGCATTGCGAGGTAAATATGTATAAAGCTCTTGTATAATGTGTTCAGAGGGTAAATTATCAACAGCCTCCTTAACTGTATAATTAAACGTTACATACTTTGTAAACAGAATTAGGATACACTGTGATTGGAATATCACTGTCATAAATGAACAAAGAGAGGAGAGCCAAATTTGTCTCCTCACTCTAAAAACAAAGCCGCTCCCCACCCTAATCCTTTCGTTAAAAAAAAAGTATTCAGCCGCTAAATTTTAACTTCAAATTGTCCAGTTTGCTAATGCCCCATTACAATCTTATACACTGAATATTTTTTATGACACAACTCAAGACAGCACATCATGTTAGGACAAACACTATGAGAGAAAAATAACCAGCACCAAAATGGGTATGGTTCTAACATCTCCGGCCTGTTATAACACTTTATAGTATTTTATCTCAAAGCATTAGCAGCAGAGGGCTTTCAAGCTTTTCAGAGCACAATACAGTAACAAATATTTGTCTAAAAATTAAGAAATTGAACATATAAAATAAAGTATTTCATCCTCCTTTTATCATGACAACAGGGAAAAGTAGATCTTACAAGACATTAGGGAAAAGTAGTTCTTACAAGACATCAGGGAAAAGTAGTTCTTACAAGACATTAGGAAAAAGTAGTTCTTGCAAGACATTAGGAAAAAAAAAAAGTAGTCTTACAAGAGATCAAGATGACATGTTGATATAAAACTAAAAGGAATTTAATGATCATTGATATTTTGTATAAATGCGTTTTTGTAAAAATGTCCACTTTGATCAGCTGTAAAATATGTCTGTCTCTGGGACATTCGAGATGTAGCTCACACACCCTGGAACATGAACAGAAACAACAAAACAACACTTATCTAGAGTGCCTAGAAATTAACAATGAATTTAGATTTAGGGTCTTTAAAAAAATACACATTCAAGTTAAAGCTGGTCAAAAAAACTACAAAAAAAAGCAGAAAATATGTTTAAAAAACCTCTGCATGCCATTTAAGTCATTTGTATTTTGACAGCAGTCCCTTACAGCACGTGTTCAAGTAAATTTTGTAAAAAAAATTTAAATTCTGCGCATTTTGTTAAACCATTAGCCAGGGATGTTAAACAATAGGATCTCGGATGATCTCTTTCAAAATTGACTGTTCACTTAGTTCATCCGTACTTAACAATTATTAAATTTAATAAATTTATTATTATATTTTGTGGTGAACATTTCAAAGTTACTAGAATTCTGTTTCAATTTAATAAGCGATCTATCAGCTTTGTAAGGTCGGGTGGTGTGTTATTGAGCAAACTGACGTGGTCATTTATAACAAAAGTAGTGGTGCCTCTTACAAATTCCCTAACTTAATTATAAATAGACACCATCTTAACCACGCTATAAGAGTGCTATCTTAGCACCACATATATACTCTAGCAAATCTATTTATTAAAATGTCAGCCATATTCACTGTTTTGAAATCAAAACAAATGAATAGCAATAGAGGTCACTGTTTTTTTCATCCCAATTTGTACATGTTGTTATTAATCATATCAAATTTTACAAAATTTAATTCATATTTGAGTTCGACCACTCATTATTAGTTTAAAAAAAATATATTTTCATTCCTTAATTTTTTATTTTCTTACTGAGAAATTTCAATAGATTTTGCTTGTCTAGTTTCATTGCAGTGAGACGAGCATAACTATTCTTGACCCCTTATTTGAAAATTATTATAAACACTGTTTGAAAATTATTATTAACACTGTATTTCATTTGTTTGACTATTAGGGGCACATCATAAACTAAAACTTAATGAAAGTGCAAATACTATTAGCAATAGTTGTTAGAAATCCTTCTTTAGAGTTCAAATCTTTTTTGGTTTTTAAATTTAAACCAACTTAATATGACCTTAACCTTGGTCACTGAAAGAGATACAATCTCAAACAAGTCCATATGTCAGATATGTCAAAGAAAAATATAAACTTACATATATTGTTATAAAAAAACTCACAGGCATATTATAAAATGAACCAATATACATAATTTTTTTATATACGGCCCCACAAGTTGACGAGATAACATAAAAACAGCAAGCCTCCATATAAATCAGACTTATATTTGTATGGGGCTGTAACTAACCTTGATTTGGGAACCTCTGTCATCTGGTAATCAACAATTAACAAATCAAAATTTTATTGTGTTCAAAGCTTGTACATTATATTTACAAATATGCCAGTGCATGCATTCTCACAGAAACCTTTAGTAAAATACATGGTTGAGAAAAGCTACAAGCTTTTTTGATAAGGGTAAGAGGAATATTTCAATCTGCATTCAAACAGCCATGCCACAAGTAAAGGACTCATTTGATTAAACGTTAAACTATTTGTACAAAAAAATGATGGTAAAATATTCACTTTAAAATTTAAATACATGGTGAGCGTGATCTCAGGGTAGGTTGGGGGGGGGGGGACTTTTGGTTTAATAAGCGGCACAAAATGATAATTGTTTCACAGTGTTAAATGGATTTTATGTATTAACATCTGATGATGGTGTGATGTTTCAAAGTGTTTAAGGGATTGGATGTTTTGTCATCTGATGATGGTGTTACATGAAATAAAAATCATTACTGTAGTCACTTTACTAGCAACTTACAACACCTGTTATTTTTTAAAGGAAAATAGAACAGGCAACCAAATGTTGAAAGTAGATGTAAAAATGAGAAACATAACTTAGTTGTTACAGTTTGATGATAAGATTCTTAGCCAGAGTGACTAACAACATATTTATATAGTACTCAAGTTTGGGATCATGTAAGTGTAAACATTGAAAGTACAAGAACAAAAAGAATTTATTTTGATCAAACATACTTACTGTATGCCACAGTTTTGTTTGCAGTTCTGTAATTCAGAGCCCAAATATGTATTATTCGAGTTTGGTATGAAAACTTAAAAAAAAAACTAAACCAGCAGATGGTTCAAAATCAAGCCATTACTTTTTAAGCCTTGACGATAATGACATTATATTTATATTGCACACTTTCCCAGACATTACAGTTTAAAAAACCCTGGTCTCATGTTGTACAAAGTGTCAGCGTAAGTAAGCACTAAAAACTTCAGCGAGAAGAGTTATTTTATCATTGAATCTCATTGTTTCTCTTAATGCCAGGAGACATTCTTGACCCAGTGCTTGAACACAACAAAATAACTTGGTCACTGTTGACCAAACTCAGAAATTTCAAGTCACTTTGCTTTGTTTTATACAATTTCAAAACAGGGAAAAACACATTTTTTCACCAATTCAATTTTTTTTTTGAAGAGCTTAAAAATGATTTTGAAGTGGCTGTTTTACAAGACTGACTCATATTGAAATAGAAGGGAGTTAATTCAAACAAGTTTTAAAATTTTGAGATGACAAAACTTTAAACTTCTTCATTTAAGACGAAGTAATAAAAAAAACAAAACAAAAACAACTAACATGACGCATTTGAGTATGTCAACCTGATATAGTCAAATAAGTGATATTGAGAAATATTTGGTTATCTGAACATGGGTTCTCGTACATTACAACAAAACGTCTACAGCAAAAAAGACTTCAATGGGGGAGGGTGGCACAACTGAAGATATAAATAATATGGTCTATTATTTTAGTTGAGCACATGCTAGAGATAGGCTGGTGTGCAAACACCACTCCATAACTCACTTAAATAAGACATAGAAGGATTTGTCATTAAAATATAAAAAAAACAATCAGTTCAGGATAAAAAATGTACAACAAGGCAAACGGGACACATACAGCGGGGGTCAATACAAACAAATAGAATAAATTATCCAAATGAATCTGTGACAGTACTGTTTAGAGTTTCCCGTAGTTTTGAAAAACCAAGACCTTGGAACACTTGAATAAGCACGCTACATCCCAAAGACTCAATCACCTCATTCAAGAGTTCACCACTTTTGAAAACACATGTTAAGAATCTACCCAACTGGCGGCCGTCCACAGATAGTACAGATGCCATGCTTATAGTCAGCTAAATCTTGTGCACAAAGAATCGATGCATTGTGCCAAGTTTGGATTCATGACACCCCAGTAGAAATAAATCACCCATAAGTACAAGCCTCAGCTTGACACTCCTGACATTGTAAGTTATTGGCCAACATGATTCCACACAAATGTATCACTCTTGTCTCCTGCATCGACTCTCATGTCCTTAGTTTACAAGTTATTATCTTCAACACGCCACTGAAGGTGATTTCAACTCTTCATTAAAACCATTTCGACCCCATCAGCTGTGTCGATAAGATACTTTTAATTTCGACTCCATCAGCTGTGTCCATAAGATACTTTTAATTGTTGTGAGCACAAACTGCTCCACACTGCCTGGTTGGAATTAAATATCTCCATTGAAATAAAAAAATATGCTGAAATGCCAACAATTGAGCAAAGCACAAAAGATACAGAAAAAGACATCCTTGAAAGGTGACCGAACCTAGCGCATAGAGCCTTTCAAAATGAAGACTGCCACATTAAAAAAGTATTTACACATTTAAAAAGTATTTACACTTTAAAAAAAAAAAAGAACTTTCGATAGATGTCATCAAACGGCTAATGTCTTGACCATAAAACACAGTCTCTTCAGTCCGATATTAAGTGATATCTTCACAAGTCTGGTTAAATATTGGTCTCCAGCTTTACAACCGTTTCTGCTGGTGCAGGGGGGATGATGTTGTTGCTCTCTCTGCTGTTGCTCCTCCCCATGTGAGTGCTTGAACGAGGGAGCGTGTTGCTCGCATTGTGGGTATTGTTGGCAGTGTTCTGGTTGGTGCGGGGGAGGGTGCCGTTGCGACGTATGGACCCATAGTGAAATGAAAGATGGTGATGGTGATGACGTGGTGATGAGCCCGCAGAGGTGAGTTCTTCTTGGTAATGCTTGCAGTACTCGGCCAGGGCTTGGTGAAGGAACAGATAATCATCCTGTCAACAAAGAAGCGGAAGATGTATTACAATTTTACAAAGGAACGATATCCAAGTTGGAGCCCAAATGTTCGGATATGAAAAGACTTATCACAAAATATCATGCAGTACTTTCTTTTTAACTGTAACTTGACAGCTTTGATTTCCTAAACTGTGAATCGATATTATTCACTCGCGCTTTTATACTTAACAATTTAAGGTAAATAGCACCCAATATTATTTCATTAATATTTAATTTTCCATAACAAAATCTAAAAAAATGCACTGGTTTAGAACTTAAATATGAATTGTTCTGTCACAGCCAATAGAGCACAATTCTTGCATTGGAGAAAAAGTGAAGTCAAGTGAATAGGTTCATTTAACTTAAATTATGAAGCAAAGTGAGTCAGATATTAAACAGTAATGCTCATGGAAATTTGATCGAGGATTAAATTAGATTTGTTTTACAAAAATTAAAATACAAACCAAATTGTATCAAATTGACAATTTAAAACTAGAAGTGGCGTTTACAATGTAAGAGTTGCTGTCAAACTGACAGTGTAAGACCTGCTGTCCCATTGACAGTGTAATAGCTGCTGTCACTCTGACAATGTAATAGCTGCTGTCACATTGACAATGTAAGAGTTGCTGTCACACTGACAATGTAATAGCTGCTGTCACTCTGACAATGTAATAGCTGCTGTCACACTGACATTTTAAGAGTTGCTGTCACATTGACAGTGTAAGATTTGTTCTTAAGTTGACAGTGTAAGAGTGCAATAACAAAGAAACATAAGAGTTAGACTTGCCCTGGTGCCTACGATGCCTGGTCTCTTGTAGTGGTAGAGTTTGCAGACCTGGTAGAAATCAGCACAACTCTCTGAGAGGTACTGGTCCCTCAGTGTCCACAGAGCACAGAAAGTGCCTGCTTCAACTGACCCATACCTACAATACAGATATGGCTACAGTAATAGTCAATACATGCATCACTACAGTAATAGTTAACACAGACGTTTCTACAGTAATAGTCAATACAACATACATCGCTACAGTATTACTTAACACAGACATCACTACAGTAATAGTAAATGCAAACATTTGCAAGGTGCCAAGAAAGATCCCACCACCCCCAGGGCATGGGTCATAGTTTTTTCTCACCAACAATGATAGTTGGATTTGAAACATTGACAGAGAGATTTTTATCTTTATTGAAAAATACTTTTTATCTTTATTGAGAAATAATTTAGAGAGATGTGCGAATCAATTCTATGCACTAAAATATCCAGTGAGGAGTGCAGACTTTTAAAATGAATCTTCCCCTCCTAAACTAATCCTTACCTGTCCATGACAATGACGGGCCCACATTCCTGAGTGTTGATGAAGTTGTGCGCAGCCGTTATGGCATCAAAGACCTTGTGCACCTCAGGATAGCCATGGGGCCAGTTCTTTACACAGATGATTCTAGTGAGCAGGGTGTAGTCGTACTGGAGATGAGATAATAAGGCTGTCCATAAGTTCTTGTCTTAATGAAAACACAATGTTTAACAGGGGAATAAAGAAATTTTTTCTTTGGTTCCAGAGTTGAAGAATAATAAATCTATCCAAAAATTCAGAAGTAGGCATCTTTTAAAAAAAAAAATATTTCAAGACTAGATAAAAATAACAAGCAGATTTTTTACTGCTGTGGATAAGACAATATTTTTATTGCTGTGGATAGGAATTAATATTTTCAATGTTGTTGATAAGACTTAATACTTTTTTGTTTGCAACACTTTTAAAATAATGTCCTGTTCTCATTTCATCATTAACAGAGCTAATGAGTTTTTCAAGACTGCAGATTCTCAGATTCATTGAATAATTCATAGCCGTTATCCTCAGAAGTTTATTAATATTCATAATTTAAAAAATCATAATTAATACAACAATTTCTCTTTACCCTAACCTCCCACCTTTTTGACCCATTCATAATCATGATATAGTTTCATATCATTCTTACTGAACTAAACATATGTGCATTGTTTTTTTTGTATTTTTTTTTACCTGTATGGAGTCTAGGATAAATTCTGAGGTCACCATGTTCTTGTCCTCATTTTCTAAAGGTTCATCCTTCATGGCCAGTCGGAAGTTACCTGAATCAACTTCAATGCTGTTCCCTTTGGGAGGCCAGAACTCCTTGTACTCCTGTCATAACAGAAATATAAATTCACATGAAAACAAATACTGCGATAACAGAGACATAAGCTCAGACCAAAACAAACACGCTACAGTTTTCATGCTGTGAGCATACATAGGATCATTTAAAAAATGCAGCCTTACGATAATGAACATTTCCTTTCATAACATTATTTTTTAAGATGAGACTCAGAGAAACAGATTCTCTAAGGATTTTAAAAAAAAAAAAAATTGCTGTGGATAAGCTGTTTAAGAGTCGAAAATGTGAATTTTACTTGTGTAGGATTAAAACAGGTAAATAAACGTTTGAAATTGAATGGACTTCAACAAAAATTTTTTTTAAAAATTAATTCGAAAACCCCTGAAAACAAAGTTTCCATATCAATTCTTTATGTGAATTTTTGATTATTTAATTTTTAGTAATATTCTAATGTCCCACCCACTTTTACAAAACAGATTTATAACACCAACCAATTTCAGAGAAACCAAACAAAATATCACGCACCAAATTGTGATATTTATTTTTTAAGCCTCTCATTTAGCGCAGTTATCTGGAATTTTATATTGTGAAACCATGGTCATATTTCCATCACATTCCTCTTGAAAAACAGGAAAAAACTGATGTTTGGGGTTAAGACTTTGATAGAATAAGTTGTCATGGCAACGAGTCTATGTGCCCAGTTTCAGCTCGATAAGTTGATGGTAAGTGGGTCAATTAGACGTCTGAAGATTTCGCAACACACCCAGACAGAAAGAGAGAAATACACAAACAAAAGCTAAGTTAATATAAAGGATTTAAAAACACAGACAATATAAGTCATCTGAGATAAGATGAGATGAGGAGAGCAAGGCAAGAGGATGTTTCACTGATCATTTCCTCAAATGGAGAAGATCCGTTGACACCATACTGTATCACTTATGACATCATCATGATGGGGCAGGGTAATGCACCATGTAAAAATAATAATAATAATAATAAAGTTTATTTGAAAAACACGCTTCATCCCCAAAAGGTCGAAGCGCTGTACAAAGTCAACCATATTAAAAAGAGACATAAAAACGATCTAAAATTTACAACATTTAAAAACAGACGCAACAATATAAAGCTACATACGAGTATACCCAGTCAAAGTCTTTCATCCCGTTTCAACCATAAGCAACACAAGCCAATATACATTAACTGAAAAAGATGGTAGATAGCATCACCCCAGAAGCTGTTTGCGAAATAGATGTGTTTTTAAATCGGTTTTAAAGGACTCCAGTGTCTGGCTGTTTCTGAGAGCGACTGGAAGTGTTGGGCCGGCAAATGCAAAAGTGCGCTTTCCGTAAGTCTCAAGGCGAACACACGGTATCGATATTTTGCCACTATCGGATGAGCGGAGCTCTCTAGTGGGTACATAAGGCGTCATGAGTGCTTTGAGATAAGATGGCGCCAGGTCATGTAAGCAGCGGTAGCACAAAGTTGCAATTTCGTACTCTATGCGAGCCAGTGCAGCTCCCTCAGAAGTGTTTTAGCATGGTCAAATTTGCGTACCTCTTTATAAAATATTTAAAAAAAGGGAGGGGGGGTGTAACACATCACTTACCACCTCATCGAAAGGGGAGAGCACAACTATGACAGGACTGTTCTTGTCCCACACCATCCTCCAGAAGTCTTCCATGGTTTCCTCAATTGGATGCTGAGTTACAATAAACTCTGAAGATTTTATGTAGCCCTGCGAGAAGATTCAAAACAATAAACTCTGAAGATTTTATGTAGCCGTGCCAGAGAATTCACAACAATAAAAAAAAAATAAAACCTCAGAGTATCAGACCTGTTTACCCTCAAACTCTTAAAATCGTAGAATATCATCACAAAATTGTTCAATACGTTATATTTATAGTAAAAAATAAACAGTATATATAACCTATACGCCTAAAAACCATACATTGTACGCCAAAATCGTAAGAGTAAACAGGTCTGGAGTATATCCAGCAGCAGTGCATGTTGCAAAGCACAGTTCATAAAACCACTCTGGGAGCAGCGTGAGAGCATTTCAATAATCACAAAGAAGTTAAACACATCAACATTTAAATTCCAGTTGGCTTACTGAAGAATGCGAAGCATTAAATAAATGCGAGAGTTTTACTTAAAAAACATAATTGGAGTCTCGCTTTTGTTGTCGCAAGTTTGGTAACAAAGACTTACACAAATTTGAACACAAAACAATTAGACACAATTTTGGCAACTAATAATTTTGCTGGCCACGTGACATTGCTAAGCAATTCATGTTTTTGAAATTTCAGTTTACTTCATGATTAATGAATGGAAGCAGGTATTTTCTTTTTAAATTAAAAGACCCTTAAAAAAACCATAACTTTTTGTATCAATCCTTTAGAACCATTTTTGTGCAACTTTGAAATGGCCACAGGAATCAGTGGCATCAATTTTCCTTCATCTTCCCCTTCAAAAGAGGATACAATGATTTTTGAGGGTTGAAAATTTGAAAGAATGTGACGTCAGTGGCAATGAGTCCATGTGCCAAGTTTCGGCCCAATAACATGATGGTAATTGAATCATTTAGCCTTTCGCAACAACCAAATGAAAAAAATGCCAAGTTAATATAAAGGATTTTAAAAAAAAATATATTTCAATAAGTTAATGAAGGTTGTTGCTTGTTTCTAATGTTAAACAGAATAAGAATTAGAAGATGAGGCCAAACTGATTTTATTTTTAAAAATTCAGTATACAATAAATAAATTTAGATATAAACAATTTAAAAAACAAAACAAAAAAAACCTCAAGGTGATATGACGATTACGCCAACTCACCTGCAAGTAGGAGGCATTGATATAATCTGACCCTTCCACACCTGGCCTGGCAGGCAACAACACTCTCTTCAGGTTGACAGGGTGGATGCTGTTAACCCTGTTCTTCTCCAGGTTGATGGGTTTCAGGGCTGCTGTCAGGTCAAGCTCGTTGGGGGTGTATTTGGTGATGAGCTGAGGGAAAAAAATCAAGGGTAACATCTCAAATTGAGGCAGCCATTAATATCAATAACAGGTGATTCCATCAATCTTATGGGACACCATCAATAATTCCATACATCTTATAGGACACTTTCTTAACAATTCCATCAATCTTATGGGACACTATCAATAATTCCATCTATCTTATTGGGACACTATTAATAATTCCATCCATCTTATGCGACACTATCAATAATTCCATCCATCTTATGGGACACTATCAATAATTCCATCCATCTTATGCGACACTATCAATAATTCCATCCATCTTATGGGACACTATCAATAATTCCATCCATCTTATGGGACACTATCAATAATGGGTTGCTTTAAAGTCATCATAATGATTGAACATAGATTCTAGTTATTTTCATAGCCATGATATATTAATTTCTTCTCATTCTTCTTAAATTATGGTTAGTTATTAAAATGTTGTCAGAGTGGGATGGAAAGCTAATTTACCACAGAAAACAAATATATTAAAAATATGTCACAAATCTCAAAAGTTGATAAAAAAGGAGATCAGTTAATTTTCTTTTTTAACCCACTAACTGTCGTCGGCCGATTTCCTCTTCCCAAACTGTGTCGGCCGATAAAAAATGATTTGAAAGAATAAGTTCCAGTCCAATATTTTACACCAAATAAAACTACTTCCTTTTAGTAATAAATGAACTTCGGTTTTTCGCTCCTCTGTGTCCTTTTTTTAAAATTTAGAGTTATTTTAACAACGATCTTTATCAAGCAAATATTTGTCAGTAGCTTTTCGCGAAGTGGATCCAGCCATAGCTGGACTATCTGGCTTACAAAATAAATCAGGAATCTTTTTGAAAATTCTTTCTAGTTAATGACTTAAGTGATTCGGAAGATGATTTTCCGATCACACTTGAAAGTGATGATAATTACGATTATTTTATTAGTGGGTCAGAAAGCAAAAATTCGGACGATTTAGACCTATGCCTAAAACGAGTAGGAGTTGCCACAACAATATGACTCGTTCAAAACTATGTTGCAGATGATTTTGTTCCAATAAAAATAATTGGATGTTGTTCTGTATATGTTTTCTTATACTTCATTTTAGGGATTAAATATTTATATAGCAGCTTTTTAAATTTTATTTGTTTCTTGCTTTTTAGTAATGTTTACATTAATTATGTCGTTCTTTGTTACTTGAACGTAATTATAGGTATCAGAAGAATTAAAAAAATAAAAAAATCTATTTATAACTAAAACATATACAAATAATACATTTTCTTCAAGATAAATAAAAATGCTATCATATTATATAAACATTATAATAATATGCCTTCAAAAAATTGTAGTTTGAGGTACTTGAAAAGAAATTTTTTATTTTATCTATTCTTGGTCACTCCAAGGTCAAGGTCACAGTCAGCGAGTATAAAACATCTTTAAAAAATAGCCAGTAGGATTCCGCACCCAGTCTACTTTCAAAAAATATATATATTTGGGTTCTAGCTATAGTGTTTGCATGTGAAAAATCATGTTTTTCAAAGGCATGCAAAAAGCAGTGTTGAAGGCTATCACAAAGCTGTGAATACCCAGTGACCAAATCTAGGATTCCTCTTGTACATGAAAATATAAGAACTAAATTAGCGAGTGGGTAAGTTGGAGCAACTCGATATGAACTGACCATATATTGCTTGTCTAGCATAGCACCACTGGTAAGTGAAGGTAGTAGTGGGCTAGATGGTGACTGGTCTAGCTGAAGGAACTCGGACATCTGATCATCTCTAACTTCTGTGACACCATGGACAAGGATGTACTCTATCAGCACCTCATGGATGAAGATGTACTGGTCCTGGAAAACACAAGCTTTACATTTACAAAAATTAGCACATTAATTTGCCATTCCAGTTCTACTTTTCATAAAGTCCATAAGTAGTCAGTCTAATACTTTCATCTGAGACAGAGTTAGGAATTGATATTGAACTCTTAAATCTTATTTTAAAAAATGATGTATTTCTTTAAAGCTGGGCAATTCCACTGTAACATACACACATCTATCTCTATTCAATGTTAGTAAGGAATGGCATCATTCTGATCCTTTTCTATAAGAATGAAAGCAATATTTTATGTGTGCTTTTTTTTCAAGTAAGTATTTAGTGAATCAACACTAACCTAATATATATATATATATTATCTCCTAACGAGAAGAGAAAAAAAATAAATATTTTTTTGTTTTATAAAATCCTTGACCATGAATAAAATGCAGGGTAAAAATTAAGGAAAGTGGAATCCTTTGGAGTAACAGAAAATGGCCAGTAGGCACATCGCCAAGCTTCAATGGCATAACTTAAATAATGATTTTAAAAAAGACACAAGGTAAAACATTTTTAGTTTTGAAATGAACCCCCTTCCCCCCATAATTGATACTTTCAATATTAAGTTATCAAGAATGATCACCTCTGTCTGGACCAGGAAATTTCTTTGTCTTCTGATGTGCTGTATGAAGCCTGGAATGTTTATTGTCCTCTTATCTTCGATCTGTGCTATCATGCTGTCAATGAGGATGTAGGTGCCTGTACGGCCAACACCAGCACTGAAGGGGGGAAGGAACATGACATTAATTTAAGAACTCTTCAATTGCATTCTAGACAATTCATCTAAACCAGCTGTCACCCAACCTACAGACTAACTACAAAGTGGTCGGTCAGATATAAGGTTGTTTAAATTTTACAAACTAACACTAAGGATTGTGTACTTCCCAATTGTTTTAAATAAAATTCTGCTTCTAAGTCTGCTTTCAGGAATGATTACAAATTTGTACAACTTAAAGGCTACAGCTAAATCCCTTAAATCACAATTCTCCAGTATTAAATTTGAGTGTGACAAATAAGGTCAAAACGACAGGTTATAACTCTAAAACATTAACAAGTGGATATCCAAAACCTTATTTGATAAATCAAATTTGTTGATAAAATAAAAAATTTCATAGAAAAGTTTGACTGATAATTGCATGCACACCTGCAGTGCACAATGATAGGGCCATTCTCTGGCCCACTTTGGGCAGCTGATTTCTGGACAAAGGACAGGACAGGCAAAGAGTAGTCTGGAACACCATGGTCTGGCCACTCAGTGTAATGATAATGGTAGACAGTCCTCTCCTGGGCTCCCTTCATGGAATGACGCTGGGTCAGATAAATAAATGTACATTTAAACTTTGTGGAAATGATAGGCTAAATTCTGCATAAAAATGTGGAAATGATAGGCTAAATTCTGCATAAAAATGTCAATTTTAAGACCACAATTTTAAAATATTGTGCATAGTTATATTCTCTAATGAATACCTAGTAATTAATCTACTTATAAAAACAGTCATTAATCTACTGACAAACACAATTTTGTTTAAAAAAATAAAGATCAAGAAGTGTTTAGAGTTTTTTTTTTCTTAGACTAATTAACTAAGAATTATTTGAAAGAAATCAATTCTTATCGAGTACAACATGGTAAAAATGATAATTTGTTTTGTCGATCTACAATTTTTATGAATAAAAAAAAATGCTTGACACCAGACTAGACACCAGAAACACAGTCCCGCTTATATTATCCATAAAGTTTTAGTGTGGCAATTATAAATAGTCATTTCATTTCTGTATTAGCATTTCTCAACCTCTTGAACCAGGTGGAATCCTTGAAATTAGGCAACACTACCTTTTATTATCAGCTTGAGCCTAGCTACAAATCACTCTGTAGTAATTATTATAGATTCTCTTTTTTCAAAAAATGTTTTTCTTCCTGTGATATCTGCACTGATAAGTAATTAAATAAAGATGTTTATTCCTCTTCTTTTATTGAGTCACAATCTGCACATAAAACCCATGGGAACATCTTGAGGAGGCTGGTTTGAAGTACTTCATTCAAACTATAATCTCTAATCATGCACACTGGATTCAAGAAGGAACAACTTTGCCAGAAAATGGAGAAAAAAAAATCTTTGGCAACAAGCATGAGCCATAAAATAAGATCATTGCACAAATGATGGCAGACATTTTAACAGATGAGAGAAAAAAACAACTGGGGAAAAAAAAAAAAAAAAAAAAAAAAAAAAAAAAAAAAAAAAAAAAAAAAAAAAAAAAAAAAAAAAAAAAAAAAAAAAAAAAAAAAAAAAAAAATAAAATAAGAACAATGAACAAAAGATGGCAGACATTTTAACAGAAGAGAAAAAAAAACAACTGGGGAAAAAAAAAAAAAAAAAAAGCCAAAATAAAAATTAGGCAAATCTAAATGTGCAGCTAAAATAAGTTTCATGTATTATGTATCTGGATGTCCATTAATTAAATCTAACTATGCCAGGCTCATTCATGCTAAAGCACTAGATGGAAACTGACTAACATAACTTTACTTGACATTTTGGCTATCTAAAGTAAAAAAAAGGACTCCAAAAAAACCAAAACAACAAACAAAAAAAAAACCCCAGAAGAATAAAACAACATAAATAAACATTAAAATCTAAAACTTGACAAACCCATCTTCGTATTACCTTCCATGAAGATAGGGTGATAGCAATCAGAAATATAAATAACAAGCAAGTTTCAGTGTTACCACATGCAACTCTAAGACAAAGCACGGAGGTTTGAGAATGTTGACTTCACTGGGGATCAAAATTTACTGTGCCACTCAATTTATCAATTAATACATGATTCTTTTAGGAGCACACTATGTACATACACTTGTTTGCCGCAACTAATTCATATTTGATGTAATGTTTTCAGTAAACGGATCTGCCTCTTAATGTACATGGTCCTAGATATAGGCACTGCCACATGCAGTGGGGTGTTTAACATTCAAATTTCATATAGCTATATAATTAAGTTGATTTCATATAGCTATATAATTAAGTTGATTTCATATAGCTATATAATTAAGTTGATTTCATATAGCTATTAGAATTAAGTTGATTTCATATAGCTATATTTGCCTAGAATTTAATTTGTTAATTTAATGACTTGAACACTTTACATAGACACTACAATTTTTGGTGTGCATCCAACAAATAAGCAATAAAAACATTTTAAAATGTTTGAAAGTTGGACACATTGCATGATTTTTTAAAAAGAATTCCTGTGTGGTGAACCAACAGCATGGTTAATAAAAAGCGGTTATTTTACAGTCATATTTAAAAAAAAAAAATTCGTGGCCTGGGCGTATGCCATGCATGTGTATTACCACAACCTTTTCAATTTAAAAAACCATCCATCATCATAACAAATATTCTATTATAACCAAATTAGAATATCTTTTAATGAAACATATTTATTTTATTCATATATTTACTTTTTTTGGTAAAAATATAAAGTTAATGAGTTCTGCAATGACCAAGTTTTTTAAAATTATTATTTAATGACCTTTTTTTTTTTTTTAAGCACTGTGCTGGTCTAACTCAGCATTTGGCCTTATTTACTAGAAGTCCTTTGAGCAACCAAAGTGTTAATGATAAGTTCCAATTATACTTTCGATTCAGATCACAACTAGATATCAATTATAAAGAAAATTAAAAATATAAAGTTAATGAGTTCTGCAATGACCAAGTTTTTTAAAATTATTATTTAATGACCTTTTTTTTTTTTTTAAGCACTGTGCTGGTCTAACTCAGCATTTGGCCTTATTTACCAGAAGTCCTTTGAGCAACCAAAGTGTTAATGATAAGTTCCAATGATACTTTCGATTCAGATCACAACTAGATATCAATTATAAAGAAAAAAAAATGACCACTTCATGCCTCTACCTCAAACTATCTCAATAAATTTAATGAGCTTATTTTGATTAATCATATTAAGGGCAACCTATTTACCACAAGCCACCAAATAAAGAGTACAGCATTACTGTGCTGCTAAGATAAGAACAAACAAACAAACAAAATGCTAAAAATAGGCACTGACAGCTTGTCTACTGAGTGTGCAGGGCTTCAAGGCAACAGGGGAAAGCATGCATACCTTTTTTACCTTCAAGTTCTTGATAGAGAAGACACGGACAGTGTAATGAGCCCTTGGCAGTGTTGTGATTAGTTTAATGAGCATGTTACCATAGGTCTCTGTGCCATCATTGGGCCAGTACTGGTCACACTTTCTCTATCAACAGAGCAGAAAAATGATGGCTTAGATGAGTTATTTGTAATATTGTTAGTGTTATAAAATTAACTTTTAATTTTAAAAATGAAATATTACAAACTCTGAGATTTGTCTCTTCTGTGATTTAGTTCTCAATGTGACTATAAGTATTATAATTAGTTTTTAAAAATTGTGAATTTATTGCCAAGAGAGCTTTAAATCTCCCGACCGACTTAAGGGCCATCTATAAATGATGTCAACCATCTATGATGGGGTTTGGTGGTGGTGTGTGTGTGTGTGTGGGGGTTTGAATATGAGATTAGTGTCTGATTTTTTTAAACAAATTTGTAGCAGTTTGGTGGGGTGTGTGTGTAAAAAAACCAAACCAAAATAGCATTATTTTATTCATGGATGGCCCTCTTCTGTCATAAGTAGATAAGAATAAGGTACAAGTTAAAGCTTGAAAAATGATTTGAAGAAGACTTCGGATCATTTTGCTTTCTTACCCGTCCTTTCTCCATTAGGTTTGTGATCATGACAATGACATTAGTGTTTTGTTCCCACACCATTCGCCAAAAATCAGCAAAGGTTTGAGGCAGTGGGCCCTGTGTTGCAATATAAGCTTTTGGCTTTTTATAACCCTAGAGAAAAAAAAAAGCATTTGAAAAGAATCAATCTGTGACCCAATTGACTAAATATGACTGTAATCTACTATCATAGAACGTTTTAAACAAAACCAACAGTGTTCTGGTGATACTCACATCAACATAGTTGGCATTGATGTAGTCAGACTGTCTCATCCTGCTCAACTCTGACTTGAGCATGACTCGTGAATGATCATCTGGACACAGGATGGTTATCAATGTTAGTGATCAGTAAGTTATCAATGTTAGTGATCAATGCTATCAATCTAAACTTGAATGTTTAAACAACCGTGGCGACCCACATATTTCACCCATTAAATGCTCAGCCAAAGGGGAAGAACTTCATGTTTATGATATGAAAGGTTCAGAAAAACATTAAAATTTATTAGTGATATATTTTCAAGAAATAAAATGAATTGCATTTATATTTAATTGATATGTCCACAGAACACCATAGAACATGAGAAAAACATTACTGGAAATGTTTATATACAGATATATACAGAACAGAACAGAATATCCATTTTATTTACATATGTACACTGGCTGCTTAGAGATCAGTTTTCCAGCATATCCATAGTGGCCTTTTTGCACTTGTCCAACAGCTCTTTGGAAAACCGAAAGTTAGCATTGCAACTGATTTTAGTTACCGTTATAAGCAAGTTAGAAAAAAGTATCAACTTTCATGCTTGCCCTTTTGTTTCATTGTAATTTTTCTTTACAATCTTCTAGCATTCTGCAAGTCTGGAAACATTTCTTTGACTCTAGCATTAAAACCATCGGAGTTGGCTTGAGAAATAGTTCCTTCATTAGAAAGGTGGTAAATGAAGCGATCTGCTAACTGAAACTGAAGCGTCCGTTTTCTTAGCAAAGAAGTTAGACATGTATTACTTTTAGCTGCAGTTGGATGCTTTTTTTGGGGCTTTCAAATATGTTTATTAATATCATTGTACCCATCACTTTCAATAGATTTAACCATTTAATTAAGAAAAGCTTTGGTGGCCTAAACAAACAAAAAAAGTCTGAGTTTTTTTTAGCCTTTTAAAAAGGATGAATCATGATCGGATCTATTGATGATTGAAGAACGATTTGAAGATCGTAGTTTGCTTCGAAAAAAACAAGGCAGTGTCTACACATCAGGCGACCGGACAAATAGTGCAGGAGATATTCATCCGGCGGGCTTTATAAAAAACATTGTCACTTTTTAACCAATTGTTCATTAGATATACCAGCAATGGTTCTAGTATTTCTTTTGTAGAATCGAACATATTTCTTTTCGTGTAAATGTCCAGACTATCTTGAATTTGTTGAAATGAAGTACCGTAAGCTCTGATCGACACATGAAAAGGCTGACGGACAAATATCTCGCACAACTTTGTTATGGTGTTCATGTGACTTGGTTGAATATATAATCTCGAGAATTTATCACGACCTACATGGGTCATGGAATTTATTCACTTATTTGTCCGGTCGCAGGGCATGTAGTCACTTCGTAAAAACAAATGCAACACTTCCTGTCGTACCCGATTTTTTTCTTTTCTTTTTTTGGTCAATTTCGGATTTTTATGACGAGTGAAAAATTATAAAGTTCGAAAAATCGGAATTTTAAGGGGTTTGTCGGAAGGTTGGAATGAGGGGTAAAAAAAATCGGTATAATTCCGACAAAATCGGAAGGGTTGGCAGGTCTGCAGTTTTTACATAACAACGTGTATAGAGCGTGTCTGGTTGTCAGATTTGTCTGTTACAAAGTTGAATCCGTAACAGCTGTTTTGGCTGTCATGGGGTTGAATGGGTTAAAGTTGAATGCATCTTTGGTGCCAGCCATGATAAATCTCAAACAGTGTTGATTACAAAACAAAAGTTGGACCATTCAGAAAGTGAACACTCATCAACTCACAGGCCACAATGTTGATGTATCTGTTCTTGTTCCTGTTGTCATTCATGTTGGAACTGTCACAAGGGTACTTGTCACTGTAGGATGTCCTGTTGATCTCCTGTCAACCACACAAGGCAAATATGGCATTTAACCACAGAGCAAAACATAATTTCAAAAGCTATTGAAAGTGGAAATACTTTAAAAAACATAGTGTGAGACATGAAACTGTTGCTACAAATTCTATGAGTGCAGCTAAGTTTTAAACCAGGTTGGTTTAGATCAGTGGTTCTCAACCTTTCTAAAGCCGCAACCCTTTAATACTATTCCTCGTGTTGTGGCGACCCCCAATCACAAAATTATTTTCGTTGATACTTTATAACCGTAGAGCATATGTGGTCTTAGGCGACCCCTGTGAAAGGGTCGTGCAACCCCCAAAGGGGTCGCGACCCACAGGTTGAGAACCGCTGGTTTAGAGGCACATAATTTTCATTGTGGAAAAAAACAAACCAACAACATACACATAAATAAAAAACTGGTATTTCAAATAATGTGGTATTTGGGTTTCACAGTTAACCATTTTCTGGACTTTTAATGATACATAAGCACACTGTGTAAAAGATAATGTCTCAGTTGCTTGAAATATAAAAATTAAAAAATCTATATATAACTGTATTATACATAAAATACCCTTAAGAATGACAGGGTGTATTTGTAAATGGAAAAATGTCTGTTATTATCGCTATGTGAAAAATGTACCAATACAGACATCTTAGTTTGAGCTTACATCAAATTCATTAGAAAATCCTATATCACTGTCAACATGCATCAGGTCAACATGTGCAATGAAGTCCTCCACTGGTATATCTGGATACATTTTTCCTTCTGCAAATGTCAGTTCAATACAAGAAATGATAACTACAATGGGATATTAGGACCAGGTAGCCATCATGTTGTAACAAGCATCTAAACTTGTGCCAAGAATATGAGCGGAAAAATTCTGGCCACAAATTTAAAATGTAAACACTTCGGCGATACCTTTATAGCCACGCTAGTAGGACAGCCCAGAATTAGTATGCAATGCTTAATAGAACAGAATTGAAACCATTATGAAGATAAATGGATGGTTTTTAAATGGTTATTCCGTAAAAGTAAAGGTATGGTCCACAATTGAATATGGTGATATTGCCAAAGAAGCTAATAGTGACCTCATGTTTTGTATATTTGTACAAATATGTTTAGGTGTGGATTTGGTTCATTCAATATAGTACTCTTTACAAGATTCAATTAGCCATACTCTATTTACCAGCATCAAAAGAGAATTAGAGAAGCAACAAAAACTCTGTAAGCATAAAATAAATTTACTTAATATATGTAAATGTATCCCACCTAAAAATGGTAAAATTTAGGTAGAATACATTCATACATATATATATAAAATACAAAATTAATTTATACTTCTATGAATATTTTTTGTTGTACTGAATAAGGCATTTGTCGAAACGTTTGAATTTGTATTCTGTGTAACCATAATTAAAGCTTAACTCATATTGTTTTATTCACACAAATCAATTTTGTTTCATTAATCCACCATTATTTGGTAGAGAATTGATGAAAATTATTAAAATCAATAAATTAATTGGCCGAAAGCTGCACACATCATCCTTCCTATAATTGATGAGTTTCAAATAGAATAAAGTAGCAGCTTCAATAGCTTAAAAATCATCACAACCTATTTCTATATCTACATTCAAACACTATTTTAATGAGACATCTCTTTCGTTGACCCGTGAAAACAAGAGTTCTGGGACTTCAGTTAAAGTAGCCCAGCATTGGTCAAGATGCTAAATAAATAGGTCAATGAAATCAACGAACCACTTGAATCATCCACAGCAATAATAGTCTGTGGAACGGGCTGGCCATTGCTGGGAACCGACAGGTAGTAGGAGAATGTCTGGTAGAGTTTGCGGCAGTTGAAGAATCTGATGAAAATAATTGTTGAAAAAAAAAAAGATTTCTTATATTAAAGTAACTTAAGTCTCTCTCAAGATTTGTCTTTTATTTATAACACTGTGGAAGGTCAGTTATCCCAAATGATTTAGAAATACAAAATTCCTTTGATCAAAGGTTCAATCCTCTTCTGAGAATTTTTTTTAAGGCTGTCTTTTCTTTTCATAATTGAAAAGGTTTTAAATTTATATTAGACTTTAAAAAAAAAAAAAAGAGTTAAATAAAATAAAGGTTTTAATGTTTTCATAACAAAGTACTAGAAATTATAAGGTAATTGAGATCTCTTAAAACATTTAGCTCTACTTATTTGTATTAGGTCAGTCCGCAATACACAAATATGAAATTTTAAAAATAGTGGGGAATCCTAGTAGTCAGTTGTATAGAGAGCCCCCATGAATTTTGATAACATTAAAAAAAAATTTGTAACATCATCTTTATAATTTATAAAGAGTCAAATATTTTCCAATCTTTAATGGTGTTTAACTATACAAGAATCATTTTTACAAACCAAATCACAAAAACAAATCTATAAGGAAACCAGCTGTCCGGCTCAAGCATTTATTTTTGTCCACACAGACCTGAAATCAAAACAACAAATAATCCTGTTTTTGGTACCTGTAACCAATAACCAAGGCCACAACAGCACCCAAGATGAGTATTCCAAGAACTATGGCAACAATGATGCCGGCCGGCAAATCTTCCTCTGAGTGATGCTCATCAGGGTCTGAAAGAAATAAAGAGACGCCCAGCTAGGAAGTGGAGGATTGAGTACGCTCTTATTAAGATAATGAAATGGATGGACTCGTGTACTTAGGTGCAATTATTGAAACAGATTTGTGCACAATTGAGAGTGATCCTGACATCTTTTTTAAAAAGTGGAGGCAAAAGACGTCAGTAAATTAAGTGTTATTAGAACAAGTCAAGTAGAACAAATTTAGTGATCTTGATCCATTATTAGGGTGGTTCAAACAATTAAAGGGTCAGAATAGTCATGAGCACTTAAGTTTTTAAATTTCAATTAGTGAACAAATAACACCAAAAAAAATGAAGTGTGAGTACTGCCTCAGTGAAGTCTGAGTGCTGCCTCAGTGAAGTGTGAGTACTGCCTGAGTGAAGTGCGAGTACTCCTCAGGGAAGTGCGAGTACTGCGTCAGTGAAGTGTGAGTGCTGCCTCAGTGAAGTTTGAGTGCTGCCTCAGTGAAGTGTGAGTACTGCCTTAGTGAAGTGTGACTGCTGCCTCTCTGCACTGTCAATTACAACTGTGAATGATCTAGCAAATGACTTTGTTTCTATGTAAGAGTCTTGATTTTCCCACAGGCACCACTGTCTTCATGTAGGAAGGTGGTTTCCAGATTTAACATTTTGAAGAAGAAACCAGATTAATACATTGAGGAAGAGACCAACAAACGAATCTAACTTTCTGTCATCGTGTTGCATGATCAAATTTTTAATTGGAAGCAGTTCTTACAAAACGCACCACCATTTCTTGCTTTATTTCATGGTCCATTCTGGCAGAGGAGAAAAAGGATAATGGCAGGAATTCTTCACACATGTATCATAGACGATGACCAAATGCATTCAATCTAGATCTGGACACATCATCTGAAGTGGACTGGCAATAACTGGTCATTTTTCAGTAATAATATCAAATTGAGATCATTTAAAGGAGCCTCACAAGTATCTGGACATGTCATCCACTGCTTGACTTTATGAACATTATAAAGAGACGGACTTCAAGACAAGACTTCTTCTTGTTTGTCGGTTGAAACTGGCTTCGAAACCAAAATTTTCAGCACATGGACCAGCTTTGACATCCAACAGGCATAGTGGTAGAGACGTGGGGGTTCTTTTCCTAAAGAGATAAATGTAAGATCTAACAGTTCAAGACAGTCTGCTAAGAACTTTTCTTTTTTCAAATGCACCAATATTAGATCAATGTTTCTGTCTTGCCCAAATGCTACTAATACTGTAACTTTTGAAACATCTTCTGGTTGAGCAGTGTATGATCTTGTTACACATGCAAAAATATAGGCAGTCTTTGCCTTTCTTGTATTTGTAGGATCTAGTGCAACTGCCAATTTCTGGGAAACGCTTGCAGATGAGGTCAATTTCACCGACTTGGGTGACGATGGACCTTTAACAAACTATTTCCTGACTATGTTCACTATCGTCACCTCAATAATTGGACAGTGTTACAACAGTGGCTGCATGTTTTCTGATTAATTCTTTTTCTACTTGAAACGAAGCCTTTTATTCTTTCATTACTTATTTTGTGTCCATTCCACCGATAACATATTTCCTCTGAGAATGCTGATCCATCAGAATTGTTATGTCTTCATCAATTATTGAGTGCGTTGTGGTGCTAAATATTAAAAAGTAGTGCTCATTTTGTTCACAAAATCAGTTTCTTTTGCAACTTGGGCTTAACCAGGATGATTTTTATTCCAATATAACTTATGATACTTGGTAAGTAATGCTTCTAGCTTTCAAACATTTATTTCTTCTCACACTGGAATTCGAACTTTGACCCAAATTTAAAAAAAAGTCTTCTCAATGCCAAGTTTTATGGCACTTTTTTTGTGGTGCTAAGTCATTGGTTTTGTGGTGGAAAAAGTACACCTTCAAAACATGGCTTGAAGTCGGCAGGGTTCAGCCATCCAAATAATTTAGTTGCACCCCAAGTAGGTAAGAAGCCCTTATGGTTGCAGCTATTATTCACGTGTACAGAAAATAGTGCTAATCTTAGAGGGCTGTGAGGCAGTAATTAATGGACTGCATGTGAGATGATATTTTGCTCAGGCACTACTTACATGAAAAGTAAAAAGGAAATTAAAGTGCATTTGAATTTCATTATTGTTCATTTTTCATTCTACATTGTGAACCACCCTAATGAATGTTCACAATAACTCATAAAGTTTGTTGCCCATCAGAGATCACAAAAATTTAGGGAAGTATTTGTTTTCCTGAGACATGTTACTCAATAGCTATATTCATGAAATTGATACTATTAAAATTGTTTTAAAAAAAAGACTACTATATATCCTAAGACTATTACATAGTGTCAAAGAAAGCTGTACTCTTGTTAATATAACTCAAGGGAGGCAACAGACAATGGTTGAAAATGAGTTAAGAATGATCATACTTAAGAAAACAATACTGAGGCCATCATTGCATTTAATGTGCGGTAGACAGTATTGGTTTTATGTATGTTTATAAATAGAAGATGCATGAAGAAAACAAAGTTATTAATTTTAAAATATAATAAACTCAACTACTTTATTTACAACAACAAAAAAGGAGACATTAATAGCTAAAATAACAAAATGGAAAACATGCCTTGTACAAAAAATTGAACACAGGAAACTAAAACACAAAATAATGCATTAACACAATTTTGTTTAAAAACATGCACCATATTGCGTATATTTCTACTGACACTCAAAAACTGGGTTCTAAATTTATCTATTGTGCTACAATTTTTATGTAACCTTTAAAACAGCAATTTAAAGAAAGTTTTAACATTTTCATTTCAACGGTGCTGAAATATTTTTAAAAAAGAATACTCAGAAAAAATAGCCAGAAAAATAAACCCAGATTGGGAGATCATCAACAAGACTGTTCAGGTCAAAATGGTAAGACTTCAATAAATTAGTGAAATTAATTCTTAAAATTTTTAAAATGAAATTTATATAGTTATCTTGCTTTGAATGTTGCTAGGAATTTCTGCCAGGTTATGATGGAGTCTTAAAAAAAAAGGGACAAAAGCTGAAATTACTTTGAAATATGACATGAGTAAGGAATCATTAATTGTTATAGAAAATAAATTCAGGATTCCATTTTTTCCAAACTCCAGGGACCTCTGTGAATCTGGATTGCCTGATATTACTACTCCACTGTGGCAAAAATTGCTCTACTTGAGCTTGAAACGCTTGCTAATATTTTACTTATTTCTAAAAATTACATCTTAAAAATAAATTAAAAAATGATTGTTTGTGAAGGCAATCAAATGCAAACAGAAGGACATTTTTTTAACATTTCTGAAATAGCAGGCAGACAAAAAAACAACAAAATAATTCAAGCAGTTAGTAACAGAAAATAGATTTCAGATTTAGTGTAAACAGAAAAATTGATGATTCAAAGAAACATGGGAGTCAACACCATAATTTATGCCCCTTTGTAGTTAGGTTAAATCTAAGAGTCTCAAATAATTTTGTCATTATTCAATCTTAGCAAGTCTACTACTGATAGCACAGACACACTTGGAAAGCTATAACGGCTCTGTGCTCTGATTTTTTGTTTCAATATGTCAACTTGAGTTTAAAAAAAAACGATAAAAAAAATGTTGCTTAGTTTTTTAAAAAAAGCCATCATTCTTTCATTTACTTTCATATTGTCTATGCTTTTTGGCTATGTGGAAGATCACTTCATCTCTGTTTGTTGCAATCTTAACATTTCCCATTTTGACATTGCTTTTGAGGGAAGTGAAAGTAATATGGTGAATACAATAATTTCTTGGAGTAGAAATGCATAAGTAATAGAGCTTGTGAAAGTGAACAATTTTGTATAAAAAGAAAAGGGGAAAGGAAGGGGGGGTTTAAAACCCTATGACTGGGGCACATTTATGAAAAACTATTGAGCACATTGACCCATCCCTGTTGACAAGATCATGTTTTAAACTGTCATAAAGCTGAACACACTTTTTTTAGACTTTCAAACATTGGCGTGAAGAAGACCTTGAGTCTTTAAATTGTTTTGGTTGAATTCATCAAATTTCCTTCATAGATTTTTACAGAAAAAAAAATTCTATCCCCAAGAAAACCCCCCCCCCCCCCCCTCATCAAAGTTTTGAGATTGTTGCCATAGAAACACAAATAGGCTGGCCAAGTAGCCATTGACTGATTACATAAAATAACTTAACTTAAAAAAAATTTCCTTTGGCAAGTCTCCAAGTTAAAGATATTGAACAAAATTTAAAAAAAAAATAGATTGAGGTTATTTTTTATTCTAAGACTTTCAACAACTGCATAAATTTATTTTTTCGAACACTACAGCACTGTTCAGAGAAATGAAAAGAAATGAGGTCAATGTTTAGCCAACACTGAATAAGAGATGTATAACAAACAGAATAACTATATCTAGGAAAAGATCCCAGAAAAATACAAACTACTTAAGAGATTCTTCAAACAGTTTTATAAAGCCATGAATAAGCAACCTCATTTATGCCTACAAGGCACACGACTAGAAACATCAGCACAAGAGTAGTCACTATAAAAACCACTAATTAAACAACCCCTAAAAACATACTTTTGTTTAGATGTTTTATAAGCATTTTTTTAAATATTATTTTATATTAATATTCTGTCGCACCCCCTTTTACACTTCAGATTTATTTCACCAACTATTTCAGAAAACAAAAGAAAATATTACGCATCAAACGCAATTGCGATATTGTTACGAATGAATCTCATTTAGCGTAAAGGGAATTTTATTTCTTGAAATCAGTGTCATCATATTTCTTTCATTTCCCCTTGAAAAACAGTAAAAACTGATTTTGGGGTGTTTGGGCTGAAAATTTGAAACAATGTGTTGTCATCGGCAATGAGTCTATGTGTCAAGTTTCAGCTTGATAGGTTGATGGGAAGTGGATAAATTAGCCGTCTGAAAATTTTGCCACCCAGCCAGAAAGAAACACATGAACAATAGTGAAGTAAATATAAAGGATTTA